AGATTAAGTTCATCTGCCCAGTCCTTGTCCCCGCTGGTTTGGTTTCTTCCCACTCCTTTTCCGGGGTCTGAGATGTTCTGCAGCCCTCTCCAGACATCCCTGGCGTTGTTCTGTTCCAGCTGCTTCTCCAGTGTCCTCCTGTAGCTGTCCTTTCCCTTCCTGATCTTCTGCCGGAGTTCCTTCTGGACTGTGCGCAGCTCCCTTTTTGTCCCCCGATCTGAAGACCCTTTTCTTCTCATTCAGCAGGGCCTTAATCTCAGAGGTCATCCAGGGGTTGTTGTTGGGAAAACCCATATAACTGGGGCACAATGTTCTCCACGCAGAAATGAATATAGTATACAGTATAGTATATATAAAACTAAACCAAAGTAAAAGGATATTGGTGTGTTTAGACAAAAATCAATCTAATCTCTACAAACTTCACTCTACTTCTTCCAGTGCAGTAACGTGGTGGGTGTAGTAACCTGTTCTGGCCGCTGGTGGCAGCAGCGGTTTGAATCAGACACTGAGTCTCCGAGAGGACACCGAAGAAGAAGAAGCAGATGTAAACAGGAAGTGCCACTTTTTACGTCTCCCAGTCGACGGAATCATTTATCTGTAAAATATCTACTTTATCTTTAATTACCGGCCACAGAAGAAGTTTCAACGTTTTAGTTTTCATCATAACTTCCGCTGTTTGGTGTTTTTGTGGTTTATTGGCAGTAATGTCCCGTTCAGGGACCTCAGGAGGAGAAATGACCAACGCTCATTTAATCCAACAGGTGAGACAGAAAACACAATAATGTTCATTAATGTTCATTAATGTTGGTTAATGTTCATTAATGTTCATTAATGTTGATTAATGTTGGTTAATGTTCATTAATGTTCATTAATGTTGATTAATGTTGGTTAATGTTCATTAATGTTGATTAATGTTGATTGATATTGATTAATGTTCATTAATGTTGATTGATATTGATTGATATTGATTAATGTTCATTAATGTTGATTAATGTTGATTGATATTGATTGATATTGATTATCTGAGCTCACAGATTCACACTGATGATGATTTATAAAGGTACAACTGTTACAAACAATAAACCTCCATGTGATCAGTTAATGTGAGTTTATAAGGTTTAAAGGAGCTTCGATCAATTTAGATTATTAAGAATATATTCATAAATTATTAGTTTATTACAAAGTGTCTAAAACTACTTTAATAAAGTCTACAGGGATCTGAACATCAGATATAATGTACTAATATTTATCTATGTTACCATAATGTATTATAATAATATATATACATATTATACTAATGTTTATGTTAATATAATACATTAGTATAATGTGTATATATATTATTATATTAATATTTATTAGTAGTTATACTAGTAGACTCAATTATATTAGTTATTACCATAATGTATTATAATAATATATATACATATTATATTAATGTATATCTTATATAAAACCTCCTTTACTAATAGTTTTATTTTAATTTAAACTGAACTTTCATATTAACACAATTTTATTTTACAAAATGTTTTTGTTTGGTGCAAAATAAGGTCAAAGGTCAAATGTGGGTTTATAAGAAGAGAGCAGGTTTCAGGCCTTCGTTTGTTGTCTGTGAATAATAAAGATTTTATAATGTAAAGAAACTGATGTTTGATGTTAGAAGAGGAAATCATTTATTATAGACGGCTGCTCTGTGAGATACAATAGCAGCAACAGGCCGAAGTACTGACGGACTTTTACTGAAGTAACATTTGAGTTATGAAATGTTCACAGTGTAGTTTGAGTACTTTTACTGAAGGGGAGCCCCACTGGGACCTCCTCCTCCTCCTCCTCCTCCTCCTCCTCTTCACCACTGAGAGTAAAGGAGACATTTGTTGAGTTAACTGGAGGAAACAGTGTGACTGCAGACGGAGAGAGGCCGTTAAAGAATCCGGCTGTCACACAGACTGTCGCAGTGACAGTAACAGCGAAGTGCTCCTCAGTGACCGATAAAGATCCTGTTTAAAATGTCTTCCTCCGTCCTGCAGATGGCGCTGCTGCGCTGGCTGTCCTCTCAGTCTGACGAGGACCGGACGATTCTGACGGCAGTGACGGGCATCCAGGTCGGCAGAGAGCTCCTGAACCGGATCACCGGCCAGGACGAAGTGGATGCCTACAAGGTACCTGTGTGCCGCCTGCAGGGGGCGCTGCCTGCAGGGGTGCTGCCTGTAGGGGGCGCTGCCTGCAGGGGGTGCTGCCTGTAGGGGCGCTGCCAGCAGGGGCGCTGCCTGTAGGGGCACCGCCTGTAGGGGCACTGCCTGTAGGGGCGCTGCCGGGGCGCTGCCTGCAGGGCGCCCTGGGGCGTCGCCTGTAGGGGGCGCTGCCTGTAGGGGCGCTGCCAGCAGGGGGCGCCGCCTGTGGGGGCGCTGCCTGTAGGGGCGCTGCCAGCAGGGGGCGCTGCCTGTAGGGCGCCCGCTGCCTGTAGGGGGCGCTGCCTGTAGCTGCCTGTAGGGGTGCTGCCTGTAGGGCGCTGCCTGTAGGGGGCGCTGCCTGCCGTACTGCAGTGGATAAAACCCTCTCTGATTGATATTCTGTGTGTGTCCTCAGAGAGAGTGTATCCTGAGTATCTCACAGTTCCTCCGTGAGAACCCGCGAGCCTCGCAGGCCGTCATCAACGCCGAAGTGGAGAAGAGAGTTCTGGTCTTCGCTGCTCGAGTCAGAGCTCTGGAGACGGCTCCGATACTCTGAGTGAACCAGCGGCAACAGCTCGGTGTTTGTGTCACTAACCGCTATGATTAAATACTGCATCAACCAAACTATTAATTGGTCTGAATATAATCTCATAGATCATTTTAAATGTATTCTTCTTTTATAAATACCTTTTTATTTGTTGTTGCATGTTTATTTGTACGTATTCATAATTTCTACATCCTGAAACTGAGGTGTGGTTCTCATGGGGAACTCTCTCTGAAGTGGGATGAAGCATTTTGGCTCTTGTGTGGATATTGTCTGAGTCTTGTATGTCTGTAGTAGAAGCTGATCAGCAGTCTGCCTTATTGTCAATGTGTTCATTCTTCACCATATCTTATATCTTTATACTTTATTGTACGTTCACATGGGTGGACGTATTTCAGTGTGTGTCTGAACCTACAGGGTGAAAGTTGACCCTGTGAGGTTTGACATGTTGAATAAATCAGTTCACCTGTTTCACCAAACTCACGTCGTCTGTTCTGTTGCATCGTAGCTGATCCCTCAACAACCTCCTAATCACTGCTGATAGTCAGTAAGGAGGCTCAGTCTGGACCTTAGAGGGTGGTAATACTACAAGAATACTCTCTTAATGACATTTAATAAAAGCCTGTTCTTATGTAACAAAACTACAACAGATAACTCTAAATCCTCTGCATTAATAACACAAACTCAATCAGTGAGCTCTTAACTTTGCTCAGTGTAGCCTGAACGATTAAACTTGTTTTTAACTTGAATTTAAATCTTTTATAATGTTTTTAATGATCGTAGTTTAATGTCTTGATCAGTGAATATGTAACTTGCTATGAATCAGCAGAGTCCTGTTGAAGAGACTGTTATCATGAGGTTGAACATCTGACCTTTGGTGGTGTGTATGACTTCATAATAAAAGCGTGTTCCAGTGAAATGGATGTTCTGGTTTCATTTGAGGGAATTATTTAGTGCACGCAGACGACAGATCTATCCATGTTTTATTATATTCTCTTTACATTAAGAGTTTCCAGCTTTGTGACACATTAAAGAACATCACCAGCTTTACATTAACGGTCTAAAACATTTCACATATTTTCATCCACCGTGTACTCGGAATATATTGAAGATATTTTGAACTCAATTTAAATGTTTATTACAAGAAAACCAAACAAATAATCAATCAATCAATAAATCCTCCAATTGATTGAGGACTGATACCTCGTGTTCACTCTGCGTGTTAATCATGACATATTGTTTTTATTTAATTCATTAAACTTTTCCATTTAAACAGGAACATTTTTATTTCATCTATTCTTTATTTTTATTTTCTGTAAAACCTCAAACTCAACTGTAGTTCAGTTCAACTGCTGCCTGGCCCCGGCGCTGCTCATTGGCTGAGCTCTGCTATGGTCCCGCCCCACTGTAGACGTCACTTTCTCCGATTGGACAACCTCGGCGCGACGTCACTACAGCGCTCTCTCTGATTGGCTCTGAGAAAATGGCGGGGGAAGAAGCTGCGCGTTCAAACACATCAACACTGAGACTTCCTGGTCCGTGAACGCAGCAGCCGCCGACAACTTTCAGCTTTTGAGTCCGAAAAACGGGATTATTGTCCGGGGTGAGCTCCCTCTGTGTGCCGGGGAGAAGCGGACATTGTCAGGATGGATGTTTGTCAACGTAATGGCGACGTCGCGGAAGTTTCCGACAAACTGGAGAAGTAAGTGAAGCTAACGACTAGCTAGCAGTTAGCTTCAGTGCTAACAGCGCCGCCTGTTAACATTGGTGGGAGGCTAGCTGTTTGTGCTAGCTGTCTGTGCTAGCTGCAGTGGATTAATAACCTCTTTATATTTGACTTTAACTTTACTGACTAATATTAATCATTATTATGCTTTTATTGAGTATTTTATTGTTTTCCTCTGGTGAAAAGTAACTTAGTACATTTACTGAAGTAACGTTACTTTACTGAAACAGCTTTAGTTACTTTATATATTAAGATTACATTAAATCATTAAATCATTAAATGATCAGCTTCTAAAGCTGTTATTGATGAACCTCTAATAAAATGTAGTTTGTTACTGGGATTGCAAATAATTATAATAACAATAAATATTATTATAAATGATATCTGTTAAATTATTGATTCATAATCAGATTCAGGTGAATTTATTGATCTCTTTATTGGCACTAACACATGTCACAGTGACACTAATAAAGTCATGGACGTGTTATTAATAGTACACAGCTGTAAAATGCACATTTAAAATATAAAAAACTAATAATAATAATTTATTTATGTTCTATCTTGTGTTTTTTGATGGAGCCGCACAAATTAATAAAAATAAAATGTGACAAACAACATTATAATTTAGTTCTGCTGTTTTAATAAGTTCATTAAAGGTAACGTGTTTATGAGTAACAAGTTATTGCTTATTAACTGATGATCATTTCCTCACTAATGGACGATCATATCGCAGAATCTGTCACAATAAGATGTTTTTGTATCACTCAGTCATATTTTCTGATGAACCGAGTCAGAAGTGTTGTTTGTTTTCAGCCTTTCTCACCCTCAGGTGATAAAACTACAGGTTGTTAATGTCTTTATAAAATACAATAATGAGGAAATTATCGATTATCCACAATGAGAAACACGTAATTATCGGTTATTGTATTGCTGGATAAAAACTATATTTTGCATCCCTTCTTCTTACATTCACACATTTTGCCTTTAAATGTCTCGTGTGTTGTAATTTGAACTGTCTGACGCCCAGAACTTTTCTTCTTTCCTCGAGTCCTCGTTTGGGAATCGGCAGACTAAACTAACTGTATATATAAAGTAATTCAAACTAACCCCTGGAGCAGCTTCTAACAGTGAAATGCTGCTCTGATGGATGCATGAAGCTGAGGATACTTGGTATTTTTTCCTTTAGTGAAGCGTCTGACTGCTTGTTGTTCTCTGTGGTGTTAGTATCATATAAACTGCTCACATTATGGGGAGTTAATGAGGTTGATTTTATTTTCTGCTTTGCTCTCTGAGGGAAAATGAAACTGAGTCTGTTGATGTAAATGTGTTTCTAACCCCGACTCTGTCTTCACAGGTCTTTGTCCATGGATACAGATGACAAGATGGAAGCATACCACAGGTAATACAACTAATTACAGCCACAAAATGCCTGTTTTAGTTGGTAGCCCTGTAATTAAGGTCCCATCCAAACATATTGTATTTTAAGTGATTTCTTTGAGCCCGTTTACGGCTGATATTAACATTCTTCTTGGATGATCACAATTCGACAGCTTTCAGTACATCAGTTTACTGCTGGTGTTAGAACAAGTCTCCAGTGAGCTCCTGTGATCAGATCTCACATCTCTAAATGCCAATAAACACTTTTATAGCACCGTACCTTCTGCTGTCACTCACTGTCCTTTGTTCAGTTCACATGACACACTAAACTCTTGATATCCCGTCACTTTGTGCATTAATTAACGTTCCTGAGCATTTTTACTGCTGTTTCTGCATCACGTCGAAACAGGTCAATACATCTGATAAATCATCTTCATCAACTTCATCATCAGTAAAACAATGTACACATTTAAATGTTATAAATGAAACTGACAGTAGTAATTTGGATGTACACTTTCTGTGTTATATCTGTGACAGCAGCTGAGCGGAAACTATCATTCAATTCAACCAATTCATCATTTATGTAATTATTCAAGTAAAAAAGTACCAATTCAGAACCTGCCCTTCACCACAGCACCTTCAAACTATTGAAAAAGATGTTATATTGTTGAGTTAAAAAGTTTAGTTTCTAATGTGATGAACCTAAAATGTCTAAATTGTACCTTGTTGTTTTTCTTCATGCTAGTGGCCAAACATAGAACATTAGATCTCAATGTTGTCTTATAAATTACCCTCTAATGTGTTTTCTTCTTACAGATTCATTCAAGATGGTAAAGATGTTGCCCGACAAGGAGACATAAAAAAGGCTCTGGAGCTCTTCAAGTTGGCGTACAACATCCACCAGACTCAAAAACTGGAAAGCAGGATAAAGAAAATTGAAGAACTTATTTCTCAGAACGACTCTGAGGAAGAAGATGAAGAGTTTGTCAATGTGAACGGAAGCGGTTTAATGCTTTTCAAAGGTTTATATGACAAGCTCTATGACTACCAGAGAAATGGAGTGGCCTTCTTATACAGTCTCTACAGAGATGGTCTTAAAGGTGGGATCTTGGCAGATGACATGGGCCTTGGTAAAACCATCCAGGTGATCTCATTCCTCTCGGGTATGTACGATAACGAGCTGGTCAAACACACAATGCTCGTCATGCCAACTTCACTCATCACAAACTGGACTAAGGAGTTTGCCAAATGGACTCCTGGCATGAGGGTCAAGGAGTTTCACGGCACCAGCAAAGGAGAGAGGACCAGGAGTTTGGAGAAAGTTCAGAGGAGAGGAGGCGTCATCATAACCACCTACACTATGCTCATGAATAACTGGCAGCAGTTGTCATCATACCACGGCAAAGAGTTCACATGGGACTACATGATTCTGGATGAGGCACACAAGATAAAAACTTCAACCACCAAAACAGCCAAAAGTGCCTGCGCCATACCTTCAAAGAATCGAGTTCTTCTCACAGGTACTCCGGTCCAGAACAACCTGAGAGAAATGTGGGCTCTCTTCGACTTTGCTTGCCAAGGCACTCTCCTCGGCACGGCTAAAACATTCAAAACAGAGTATGAGAACCCCATCACCCGTGCCCGAGAGAAGGATGCCACGCCAGGGGAAAAGGCTCTCGGGTTCCGGATGTCTGAGAACCTCATGGCCATAATCAAACCCTACTTCCTCCGCAGGACAAAAGCTGAAGTGCAGAAAAACAAAATGAACGGCACACATCAGCGCAAAGAGGACTATTCAGACGACAAAGACAGCCAAGTCCCAAACCCACCAAAAGACTCTGGAGCTGTCATGCCCACGCTGACAAGAAAGAACGACCTGATTGTCTGGACTTACCTGAGTGCTGTTCAGGAAGACATATACAGGCAGTTCCTTTCACTGGACCACATCAAGGAGCTGCTCATGACCACCAGATCACCTCTAGCTGAATTAAACATCCTGAAAAAGCTGTGTGACCACCCAAGACTGCTCTCTGCTGCAGCCATAGCTAAGTTAGGCTTGGAGGAAAGTACAGCTGAGAGTCATCAGAATGACGACACGGAGACAGACGCTGCTCACGGCATCGCTAACATCACTGACGACACCCTAATATCTGAATCTGGGAAACTCGTCTTTTTGTTTGCGCTTCTTGAAAAGCTCAGACAAGATGGCCACCGCACACTTGTCTTTGCTCATTACAGGAAAGTGCTTGACATCATCGAACGCATCCTGGGCAACAGAGGCTTCAAAGTTATCAGACTGGACGGCACAATAACACAGATTGCAGAGAGAGAGAGGCGCATCACTCTGTTCCAGACCGACGAGCGTTACTCTGTCTTCCTCCTCACCACACAGGTTGGAGGAGTTGGCATCACTCTGACGGCAGCAAACAGAGTCGTGATCTACGATCCCAGCTGGAACCCAGCAACAGATGCCCAGGCTGTTGACAGGGCATACCGCATCGGCCAGACTGAAAACGTCGTCATCTACAGGCTCATCACCTGCGGGACGGTGGAGGAGAAGATCTACAGACGGCAGGTTTTCAAAGACTCCCTCATCAGACAGAATACCGGAGATAAAAAGAACCCTTTTCGGTACTTCAGCAAGCAGGAGCTGAAGGAGCTCTTCCTTCTGGAGGACACACGGTCTTCGTCCACCCAGCTGCAGCTTCAGGCCCTGCACTCCAGACACCGACGGACAGACCCGGAGCTGGATGAACACATTGCCCACCTCCACGCCATGGAGATGTTTGGAATCTCTGACCATGACCTCATGTTCTCTCTCGATGTCAACCATGACGAGTCCCCGGAGGACCAAGAGGCGCACCACTACATTGAAGGGAGGGTCCAGAAAGGCCCAGGAGCTGATGAAGGCAGAGTCAGAGTTACAGATGCAGCTGGCAGAGAACATGACAACAAGTACAGAACCAGCTTGGCTCAGACAACCTGTGGAGAACAACAACAGAGACCATTCTCATGACAAAAAAACAAGAAATCCAAGACCAAGTCCTCCCTATCCACAACATGACAGCAACCTCAACGGGTCACCAATTGTGGTGGATCTGGACCAGTCTGGTTCTAGCAAGGAGGATGGCCAACAGAACCTGAGTGACAGAGTTATTGATCTGACTGCAGATGAATATATGACAGAAGAACAACCTGCTGTAACAAGCCAAGAGAAGTTTGATGAGCTGGAGCTGGATTCCCCTAAACACCAGTCAGTCAAGCATGAGAGGAGTTACTTGGAAGCAGATTCTCCTCAGGAGGTGCAGGATCTGGATTCCCCAGAACATCAGTCTGTCAAGCAGGAGCTGAATTACTTGGAAGCATCTTCTCCTCAGGAGGTGATCGAAGACTCTTTGGTGCTGTCAGAGGCCGCTGATGCTGCAACAGGTGATTCGGCAGATGTCTCCGTTCAAGAACTAATGGACGAGTCTGCAATGTCTGAGGCTGCAGTTGCTTCAGCAGGTGACATCAGTCTGCCGTACGTTACAGCGGTTGATGAAGATGAACAACAGCTAAATGGATCTTCACACTCAAAATACGACTCAAAGATGGACTTGGGGCTTCCACATGGCACACCCCTGCAGAACAAAAGACTTTCTGTCTTGCAAGCTTTCAATTCAAGCTTCAAAGCAGACGCGTCGTCCAGAGCCAGCACGGGGTTGGAGTCCTTTGAGGGCAACTTCAATTTACAGCTTGAGGACAGTGACATGTTCTCAGACCACGATGTCCCAGATCACGAAGAGACCGAAGCAGAGGAGAAGAAGTTGCTTTCACAGCTGCAGATGGAGGGGAGTTTTGATGTCAATAAATCCCTTTGTGAGAGAGAACATAAGGAAGCACTCGGACGAAGCTTCAACAGCGTCCATGCCTCTGAAGTGGACGAGTCAATGAATGATTCTATTATAGCTACCAAGAAGAAAAGAGCAGCGGTGATTTATGACAGTGAAGGTGATGATGATGATGATGATGAAGATAGGCAGGAGTTGAGGAGTCAATTTGACAACTCCTTCGAGGTTCTTGGAGCCTCCACACCTAAATCGGCGCCCTCTGGCTCCACCCCTCTCCGGTCAAGAAAGAGCGTTGGAGGAAACACCTCCGTGGCCTCACGACGCTCCCTCCTCCAGTCCATCATTGAAGACGTGGAGAACCACAACCAAGACATGGGGGGTGAGGAAGAAGGGGATGATGATGATGATTATGAAGATATTTCAGAGAGACATTCTGATGAAGCCGAAGAGGAGGACATCATTCATTCAACCCATGATGAGTTCCAGCTGGAGGAGACCATCGGAGAGACGTTAAACACAGAGGGTGAGGAGGAGGAGGTAGAAGAGGAAGAAGAGGAGGAGGAGGAGGAGTGCTCTGAGTCAGCAGATGGCATCGATGAGTCAGGAGAGGAAATGAGCCTTAATCTAGAAGAATCAACCGGCGAGCCCGAACTAGCCTCCTCCGAGAGAATGGATCAGTGCACCGTCGACGTGAAGCCCGAGGACGAGAGCTACGACTCCCTGGTCATTAGAGGGGGGGAGTACTACAGCAAAGGGAGGCTGGACGACGCCCTGGAGCTCTTCCTGAGAGCTATCGACATCAAACCTGGAGATCCCAAAGTTCAGCTCATGACCATCCAACTGTACCGGCAGCTGAGTCAGAGACGTTAACAACGGATCAGAATAAATCCTGCGACAGATGTTGTACAATCGGGGTCATGCTGGTTCCTGTGGACTCCTGTCTGACTGCCTGCCCTGTCTGCAGCTCTAGACTTCAAGCCCATTGGATCGTACTAACGACACTTCACAGAGAGTCTACAGCCATCTCTACAAGGTTCCCCATCGTAGTTTAAAGGTCCAGTGTGGAACATTGAAGCCGACTATTGTCAGAAATATAATATTCATCGTTATGTTTCAGTGTTTAATCACCTGAATATAAGAATTATTGTGTTTATGTTACTTTAGAGCTTTTTATCTGCAGGGTCTAGATAAAGTCTGGTCACATGTTCAGTTCATTATGCGAGGAAGGTCGACGTGTTCTCATTCAATCTATTTTGATAAAACTGTAACATTTTTAATTCTCCTTATCTGTTAATTAAAATAAATGTTTGCCTTTGTTACCTGTTATATATAAATTGTATCTTACTGAAAGAGAAAAAAATGTTTATCTGCATTTTCATTGTTTCTTTGGGTTGGAACTTCACGTTGCTCAGTATGCAGACGATCTCTAAACTTATATATTAATTTATAAGTTCTACAAATAACAGTAGTTTTCATTATTATTATTATTATTATATTCATTATTTCTGAAAACAGTCCAAAACCCAAAGAGATTCAGTTTACTGTGATATAATTAAATGACTCAATCAGTTTATTAAATTAGTTGTCGATTACTTTTCTGTTGAATCGACTAATCAGCTCTAACTGATAGTAAATATAATCTATATTTAAAACAGTTATCAAAACTCAGAAATATTTTTCACTATTTTCTGAAATGTTTTAGCCAAATTAATAATTGATTGTTTGTATTAGATACAGCAGGAATAGTAAATGTCCCAATCTGAGTGAAATCTATTTTTATTTTAAAATCAGCTGCTTGTTTTATGTGTTCGGAGTGAATTTAGACTGTAAACAGAAATAATTTTAAATCACTAAAAAAGAGCCAATAGTCTGCTAATGTTAGTCAATAATCAATTAATGTGATTTGTCTGTTTAAAGTTTAATTAGAAGTGAAATTTGTTTTGAATGTTAAACTCAGATTCACAGGAGCTACGGTTTACAGAGACACCTGAAGGCACCACAGCCTTTATTGTGTTAGATTTCAGCCAATCAGCGATCACTATTAGAAACTCTTCTCTCTCATTGGCTGAGAGCTCAAACCTTTAAAGGTGCGCTTGGATAAAGTGTCCGGAGCTCCCGGCGGTGATTCAGTGAAGGTCGGAACAGTTTCACCTCCGGATCAAATTATAATAAAGTTATGATGCGAACGAGGAGGCGCTCGGTTTACTTCACTGTGCAGCCCGACAGGGGGCGCATGCGCAGTTTAAGTCTTCCAGCTGGAGATTAATGTTCGTGAAGCGAACGGAAACGAACAGCCAGTGACTTCCGGTTCAACTAGTCTGACTTCAGAATAAAAGTATCACCCTCTGATATTAGTTACACATTATTAAGTCATTAATTAGCACATATTAATAATGTGTTACTTTATAGAAGACAAGATTAGAGTTTAAACTTTAAATGTATTTATTATTTTATTTAAATACACAGTGTTACATACTCATAAGAAGATTATTGATTCTTCAGCACAAAGTAATTACATTTTAAAATTAAATTAATACAATTAGTCCATGAATGAAATTAAAAGATACAAGGTTATATACAGTACGTTATACATATACAAATATGTATACTGGTTTAGGTAGTATATATAATATATATATGGTGTGTTTAATTACAATATGCAGATAAAAACAATATTTACATACAACTATTAAATATAAAGTACTTAAAGTCTATATATAAAGACAGTATAATAATACATTAATTTATAAAGCATATATGTATAATAATGCTCGATGGATCATTGAACTAAACCTAAAACAATATGTGTTTGTTTTTCTTCATATTACTTTGAACAAGTTGACAACTTGAATTTCCCTCGGGATAAATAAAGTATCTATCTATCTAAGTCCTGCTCTTTAAAACGTGTGTGTCGTCAGCAAAATATACTTCATAATCTTTATAGGGCGCAATACATTATTGTCAGTTATATACTTTAAATCTTTGATTACTGAAAAATAAATGTGAGCGGCATTTAAATATAGTCGGTGGAGGGGGAGCACATTGTGTCGACTTTATAACGTAAGACTTAATATCCAGAGTAAGCAGTCAGTGAATGTAGGGAGAGAAACACTTCAGACTCTTCTTATAACGCTCTATATTTTATTTATTCTATTTTATACATATATAGTTGTTAGATATTGTAATATAATACATATTTTAACGTTCTTCTTCTTCTTATTTCTATTTATTTAATGTCGTGTGAGCACCTTGAGCAACTGTATGTTTTTTTTTAATTGATTGACTGAAATTAAAAGTATAAAAAACAGTACTTAGTTACTTTCCAGCACTGGTCAGTGTGCGGTGGGTTTCAGTTTTTATATTTCTACATTTTTTAGACACGAATTACAATCAGATTGAAACAATAATAACACATAAACACGTTTAAAGAACAAAAAGTGAATCAAATAAAGAACACAGGAGGAGGAAATAATGAATAAATAAAGTTTCTTTGTCTTTGTTGCTGTTTTATTTATCAGCTCGACTAGAGAATAATAATTGATGTTAATGATATAAATATATAAATGAATATAAATTTCACACAATAAAACGTTCATGCTGCGTTTACGGTCTGTGTGGCTCTTATTTTGAAGTGCGTCACCGGAAGCGGTCGGTATTTCCGGTAGCTTGACTCTGGGTTCACGCGGAGCTCCGCCGCTGTCGGTGAGCAGAACAGACTTCCCTCAAACTGTCCGACAGAGAAACACTCACTGACTGTCGGTGGACCGTCGGTGGACCGTCGGTGTTCGGATTCACGGACCGAACGAGGAGAAACCGCGGCGGACATTTTGGATCCGACCGCTTGCTAACAGCTAACAGCTAACAGAACCGGGTCGTCCGCTGGGTCGGAACTTATGGCTCGGCCGAGGAAGAAAACCTCTGCTGGGCGTTTAGCATGAGGCTCTGCGGGGGGAGACGACTGGAAGACAACAGGGAAAACAACAACAACAACAACAACAACAACAACAAACAGAGGAGGAAGACTGAGAGAGCGGACCGGTGACATTTATTCTCTCCAGCAGAGGAAGAGGAGGAAGATGGGAGGAAGAGTGGAGCTGCTGGAGATCTGCTGCCTGCTGCTGCTGCTGCTGAGTGGACACTCACACTGCAGAGGTGAGGAAGAGGAGGGTGAGGAGGAGTACACTGAGGGTGAGGAGGAGTACAGTGAGGGTGAGGAGGGTGAGGAGGAGTACAGTGAGGAAGAGGAAGAGCTGTGTGTGTTTCTCTGTAAAGTTTCTGTATAATGAGCTTTAATATATACGACAATAAAGTGATACAGCAACACTATATTATATTATATTATATTAAATTATATTATATTATATTAAATTATATTATATTCAATTATATTATATTATACTATATTATATTATATTCAATTATATTATATTATACTATATATTATATTCAATTATATTATATTCAATTATATTATATTATATTGTATTATATTAAATTAAATTATATTCAATTATATTATATTATACTATATTATATTATATTATATTATATTCAATTATATTATATTATATTATATTATATTATATTCAATTATATTATATTATACTATATTTTATTATACTATATACATTTTATATTAGTTATTAGTTAAAATGTTACATTAAAATATAAATATTGTGCAGTACATGTAAACATTCATAGTCTTTTGTTTTTATTGTTTTTATTAGTTTTATTTTTTAAGAAACTCCTCATTTTGTATTCGACTCGTCCAACTTGTCAGATTCTTTACTTTAATACAAAAGTACAAAAGTATTTGAAACAAAAAGTAATTAAAGAATCAAAAGTAAAAGTGACGCCTGTCAGTCAGAACTCGGGTCTGAAAGAGGAAACAGAATTAAGTTACGATGATCTGTGAGGTAAAATTAGTGTTTTTCTTTATGGAGTCTGGTGGAGACATTACGGCTGTTCCTGATTAAAGTAAAGGACTCTCTCTGGCGGGAAATATCTCAGCTCTTAGATTATAATAATAAAATGGTGAACAACATAACAGAAGCAAACTTTGAGTTGTTGATTGTTGGAAAAACAGTTTTATTTTGTTTCTGTTCAGTTTGATTTAAATGTTTTATGATTATCTGAGAGGGAAAATTACCAGTTTTGTCAAAGGAGTCTGGTGGGCGGTGGTGCCAACGGTTGTGGTCTGAGATGTTCTGTGGGCAATAGGGATGGGAATTATACTGATACCAATACCATTATTGATTCTGCTTATTGGTCTGAGTCTTTGTTGAGTCCCTTATTGATTTCTGATCCGTTTTCTGATCAGCAAGTTGGCTTTAATAATGTAATGCACAACATATAATATATATATAAAAGTAAAAGTCTTATATTCTCTTATATTCAGAGAACATGCAGTACTTAGTGTTGTGATTACGTGTGAGTGTGTGTGAGTGTGTGTGAGTGTGTGTGTGTGTGTGTGTGTGTGTGCCTGTGTGTGTGTGTGTGAGTGTGTGCCTGTGTGTGTGTGTGTGTGTTGTTGGAATTCGACCCAGAGAGGCGGTCGGGCTGCGTCTCCGTAAACTTTCACTCTTACTGTTAAACCTCTTAACACTGAGACATAATGTGCTGCTGGCTGCAGGGTTGTGCCACAGATTTAAAGTCACTGCAGTGACTCAGTGTGTGTGTGTGTGTGTGTGTGTGTGTGTGTGTGTGTGTGTGTGGTGTGTGTGTGACAGATATCTTTTATTACATTTAGTCCAAACACACTGCATTTCCCAGAATGCAGCTGGATGGAGTCTCTGAGGAGTGGCAGTGTGTTGAATATCGTCACTGAATGTCATTAAAATAAAGATTATCATATAAATATATTTAATATAATATTTAATAAGTGGATTAAAGTTAATTCTCTGTAGAACAATCAGACTTCATGTTGTTCCAACGCTTTAATGTGCGCTGACGTATTGATTTGTTGGTTTTTGTCTTCATGGACTGCTGAGCCACCAACTCTCCTGTGTGTGTCAGTATGTGTGTGTCAGTGTGTGTGTGTGTGTGTGTGTGTTTGTGTTTTGGCGTCTTACTCAGGCAGGTTGAGCATTAAGCAGCTTAGCGCCGTCGGCTGCCGGGCTCACAGCCGAGTCCTTCAGCTCCCCGACACCGACAGGAAATAAACCTTGTTTAACACAAGTCTGACAGCGTGTGTGTGTGTGTGTGTGTGTGTGTGTGTGTGTGTGTGTGTGTGTGTGTGTGCGTGTGTGTGCGTGTGTCACTGCGAGCTGAGACAGAATCACTCAAACATCCAGTCTGAACAGTCTGAATGAATCTGAGTGATCACATTTACAGGAACCAGCAGCTACTTAAACTTTTCAACTACACACACACACACACACACACACACACACACACACACACACACCCTGTTTCCCTGAATCATGACTCACTCTGGTTTTTTTCTCCATGCTGAACCGAACATGAACAAATGAGGAGCTCTGAGGTCGTAAATCTGCTTCCACACATCCAGCTTCGGTTCTCTGTTAAAGGATCTGAAATGATTCTGTTTTCTTCTCAGTGTCAACAAACCTCGGCAGCAGGAATGAACTGAGTGAGCGTTTCTGCCCCTCTGGTGTCCCCTCCTGAAGTCAGTGTGTTGTCTGAATGTGTTTGGTTGGTCTTTGGTTCACACGAGCTGAAGAGATTTTCAGGTTTTGTTCTCCGACGTAAAAATCCGTCAGTAAATTCTCCACCTGTGGATGTCGATGCTTTTACGTCTCCTAAAACAGATGGTTGCTAATAAGTAGCTCAATGAGACTACAGAGGTTGTTGGTGACATTAGAACGGATCTATCCACTGGTAGGGTTAGGAACCACTGCAGAATGATCCTTAACTTCAATACTTTGACTTCAGTACAGTATTGATCCTTCCTCCACGCAGCCTAACTGCACTGTGTGTCCCCTTTAAGGAAGGTGCATTGTGGGTAACCTGAGCTGGTTTGTTGTGGGCAGTTTCCCGCTGTTTGAGGGACGAGCTGTGTGTGTGTGTGTGTTTGCTGCCACAGAAACAAATATTTATATATATTTATATAATGTTAAAGTTCCTACAGCGTCTTCTTGTTCTGAGTTAGTCGAGACTGTGGACCGCTGGTTGGCTAGTTAGCAGATACGAATCAGGTTAAAGAGAATTAAAATAGTCTAAATTGGACATTTTGGAGCTGGAAGATGATTGATCCTGTTTTCTCTCTTTATTTTATCTGCAGATAAACAATGACTGACTTACTAACGTTGTGCTATTGTGCTAGGCTAGTTCGGTTTTACAACAGACACCGTGCAGAGATTGCATCGATGATTTTTAGTGATCGAGTTACTCGGGTAACCCAAGGAATAGTTTTAGCCGTACTCGAGACATAACGTTATTGGACTGTTAGTCTCCACAGCGGTATCGAGAAGGTCGGACCCTGATAATGTGTGATGGGCTCTGTTGGTTCCGTTCGTGTGCAAACACATTGTGGTTTGCACACTACGTGATCATCAGGCTCACACACAATCTGCACACACTGTAGATTTTAAACAAATTGAAATGCTGCTTTTAAAACCGTGAACATTAACACACCTCCACCCCGTTGTTACTTTCAGTTAGCATTAAGATCAAAAGTTAGTGGCTGAAATAAAATCTCAAAAAGAAAAATTGTTTCCATCCACTGTTTAGATCTTGGTGCTTTTTAAGAGTAGAAGTGTTGTTGTTGTCACACTCGTGATATTAATTTAACATTGCAGGTTATACAGAATAAAACTGAAGAACAACAATACAGTCAGTATTTTATTTTATATGATAAAGGCAAATAACTCAATACATTATATTAATTTGTAAGTGTCTCTTAACAGAGAGAAAAGAAAAGAAAATGACGTGAACTTGAAAAATATAACTCTTAACACATATTTGCAATCAAGGCAGGTCATATAACTCGTGACTGGCGTTCTGTAGACCGAAGAAAACATTCATTCACATTGAAAAATGAGACAAATACAATAAATTAACATAAACAGTATTAATGAAAATGCTTGGCAAATTCAATATGACCGGATGAAGGATTTTAGTCATCGGACGTCTGGATCTTAAGTTATCAGAGAAACAAGCTGAGCTAACGTTAGCAGCAGCTCGGCTCGCAGCCCCTCCGGGACGTCCTTTGTCTGTCCAACAGCGTGGGAGAAGCAGTGATTGTTAAGGTGGAACTGCTTTATTCAGTGTGTTTAAGGTGGAACTGCTTTATTCAGTGTGTTTAGTGGTTTTAATCAGCGGGTCTGTTTGTGTTGGAGAGGAGGAGACCTCTGTGGATCATTGGGCTCCCGGTAGAAACCTCCTGAACCATGAACACTGGTTCTGCACCAAACTCCCTTTAAGAAATATCACATTTTAAAAATTCAACAAATGTGGCGCGAGATTGTTTGTCGAGCTGTCTTCTGATTGGCTGGTTGTCAGGTCAGGCTGTTAGAGAGGTCGGGTGAGGTTCGGTCAGCGTGTAGAGTTTCTGTGGATCAGAACGTCTTAACCCACATGGCTGATTCACATCCAGAGCTGGAAACAGGCTCACAGGGAGGTTTGGTTTATTTCAGGGTTTCTGTAGATTGTCTTTAACATATCTTAAATAAAACATTTATTAAAACATTTCTTGAGATTTTTGCAAGATTTCTCTAAATCTTTGTAAAGAGTTATCTAACATGTTTTAGAGATTTACTTTTCTTTAATTATTCTCTCAGTTTTGTTTTTTTGTCAGATTAATGTAAACTTTCTTAAATATCTCATCACTTTATCTCAATTATTTTAATTCAATTCAATTCAATTTTATTTGTATAGCGCCAATTCATAACAGAAGTTATCTCAGGACACTTTTCAAATAGAGCAGGTCTAGACCGAACTCTTTAAAACATTAATTACAGAGACCCAACATTACCACCATTTTAGATTTTTAGATTTTTCTAGATTAAAGCCATCTCTTTGTTTAATTTTCTAGATCTCATAACAATTTCTTAGATTTCTTTAAGAATTTGTCCAGATTTTCTTCAGGATTTAAGGATTTTAAGATTTTTCTAGATTTTCTGAAAGACTTATCTACATTTCTCCAGATCGTCTCTTCGAGGTTTGTCTGGTTTGTCTGAAGAGAAGAAAGTCGCCAGATGACTGTGGAGTAAATTAGATTAGATCAGATTAATCTTCTCTGGTCAGCAGAGGTTAAGTGGGTGGTCAGACAGCAGAGAGCAGGATCAACAATCAAACATATTGATCTTAACCAAGTAAACACTCAATTCGCTGACAGGCGTAATCAAAACAATGACTTCATAAAGATATTTAAACTTTTAAACAAAACAAAATCTCTCTTGTTGGGATTGATGAGCACACTGGTGTTTATGGCAGGAAAGATGTTTGGTATTGTGTTTTTAATCAGTTTTATCTGCTAAAATGTTCTAAAAGACGTTGTTAATAACTAATAATGCAAAAACCGTGACTGTCACTCATTTAGCATTTAGTTGTTGCTGTTGTAACTGCGTGTGTGAAACAGTTTTTAATGTCTGGACCCCAGAACCACCGCTTGTGTTCGGATCAGTTTTTACTTTTTGTCCTGTCTCTCGTTTGTTCCCGACTCGGCCTCCATGTTTGGAATGACCTGAAGTGACCTCTGCATGAACAACTGAGAACAGGACAGAGAAAAAGTAGGAAGGAGTTTGAGACAGGATGTGTTTCAGTGGTTGGAGGAGGGCAGACTGTAGAGAAAATCCAATGTTAAAGCAGTTTATGGTTTTAGTTTCGTATTTCTCGGAAAGAAAACGCAGAACTGTTCCTTTAAACATAATTTAAAATGTGACGTCTGTGTTTGAAAGCAATCAGAAATCAAAGCAGACAGACAGGCAGACAGAGAGAAAGAGAAACAGAGAGAGAGAGACAGGCTGATGTTACTGAGAGCTGAATGATCATCACACAGACAGACAGACACACACACAGTCATAAATGGTGCATTCATTCTTTGAAATGAGACAAACAAACAGACACTAAGTTGGCAGTGATGTGAACACAGAGACGTTATATAACAGAGAGAGAGAGAGAAGATGAAGAAGAGGAAGAGCAGGAAGAGGAGGTCACAGAGGTTGTCTGTGTTATTATTCCTCATGTTTTATTTTTAGATGGTAATAAAAGTTCATTAAAACAAAGTGACGTTATAATCGTCGACAGTTCGGTCTCTGGTCAGATTCCATCCTCCGGCTTTTATTGACCAGTAACGAAGTTACGATGATCTGAAGGTAAAATGAGTGTTTGTGTCTCTGGAGTCTGGTGGAGAGTGATAGTGATATTACGGCTGTTTGTGGTTAAACTAAAGGTCTATCTCTGTAGGGATCCTTTCCATAATGCTGTCAGACACTGACAATAACAACCTGAGTCTGTCAGTGGAACAAACAACAACTACTGTTAGTGGAACAAACAACAAC